TTTCTTAATAAATAAATGACTTTAGGAAATGAGAATGATTAATTTAACCTTGAAATAACTATTCTATCATAGTTTCTTCAGGTTGTGAATGATATAAAAATATGAAATTGAAACAATTGACATTTTAATAATTGATATAATTTAAAAGGGTTTAACCTTGTGAATATTTATTGATTCAACTACATTGACATAGTAGAGTGTTTTATTGATGATACTACAAATCATAAGGACTTAACGTGATGGTGTAAATGGCAATTTCCAAATCCTTGGTCAATATCAAGACCTTACACTGATATTAAAATGAATTAATCAATTATCTTTTAATACCTGAACAATTTTTAGTTACTACAATATTACTATTTTCCCTATGGTTACATCAATGTTGTACTTTACATACCAGTGACTATTATGTAACTGCCAATTTGTAATTGTTTAAAAAAATTTAAATCATTTTTCAATTACAGTTGACATACAATATTCTATTAATTTTAGGTGTACACCCCAGTGATTAGACCTTATAAAACTTACTAATTATCCCAAGAAATCTCATACCTCTGACACCATAGTTATTAAAATATTCACTATATTCCCTATGCTATACTTTATACCCTCATGACTATTCTGTAACTACTAATTTGTACTTCACATTGTAGGAGTGCTGGAAGGAGAAGAGAGAGTACAAGAAATTAAAAACCTATTTAAAAAAAAAAAAAATCCAGAAAACTTTCCTTACCTGATGAAAGAAATAGGCATACAAGTCCAGGAAGCACAGAGAGTCCCAAACAAGATGAGCCCAAAGAGGCCCACACCAAGACACATCATAATTAAAATGCAAAAGGTTTAAAACAAAGAGAGAATCTTAAAACAGCAAGAATAATACGCTGACAGTCATGGGAGCTCCCTTGTAGGTAACTAACTGCTTTTCTTTTGCTGTTAAGATTTTCTCATTGTCTTTAACCTTTGGCAGTTAAATTATGTGTCTTGGTATGGACCTCTCTGGGTGCATCTTGTTGGGGACTCTTTGCTTCCTAGATTTGTATGTCTGTTTCCTTTCACCAAATTAGAAAAGGTATCTATCTATCTATCTATCTATCTATCTATCTATCTATCTACCATCTATCTATATGTATATATATATATATATATATATATATATATATATATATATATAAATATATATATATTTCAATTCCTTGCTATACCTCTTCTTCTGGTACCCCATGACGTGAATGTTGGTATGCTTGAAGTTGTCCCAGAAGCTCTCTGTACACTAGCTTCATATTTTAGGACTCTTTTTTTGCTGTTCTAATTTTGTGTTTTTATGCTTCCTCATATTTCAAATCACTGATCTGATTCCTGGCATTCCTCTACTCTACTGTTGATTCCCTGTAAATTATTCTTCATTTCAGTTAGTGAATCTTTCACTTATGACTGGTTCTTTTTAATGGTCCCTTTGTTCTTTTTCATGCTGTTGACATTCTCACTGTTTCTTGAGCATTCTTATAATCATTGTTTTGAGCTCTGTATCTTGTAGTTTGCTTGCGTCCATTTCATTTAGTTCTTTTTCTGGAGAATTCTCCTGTCCTTTCATGTGGGACATTTCTTTGTCTTCGCATTTTGGCTGCTTCCCTGTGTTTGTATCTATGAATTAGGTAAAACTGGACAGTTTCCTGGACTTGGTAGAGCGGTCTTGAGTTGTAGGTGTCCTAAATGTACCAGTGGCACAATTTCCCCAGTCACCTGAGCTGGGTGTTCCAGTTGTGCCCCTGTGAGGACTATGTAGACTGTCCTCTTAAAGTTAAGCTTTGATTGCTGTTGGAATCACTAGGAGGGAGAGGGATTGAACTTTAGGCCAATCACCTGTGAGGACAAGCTGAGACTCTAGTGGAGGAACTGCTGTGCAGGAATCAACCCTATGGAGCAGGACTTGCTTCACTGGAGTTTTGGTGCTCACCTAGACACCCCTTGAGTGTGTCGCTCAGGGAGGTGGTAGGGTTGTAATCTCATCTGGTCTGAAGCTGTCCACTGGGTGCACTGACTCTGGGGCCTCCCAGAAGGTGCAAAGTCAGCTGTCACTTGTGTTCTGGCTGAGGTCACTTGGCACAAGCTACAGAACCATCTGAAGATCTACTACTTGTGTTGATCTTGGAGGTGCCCAGGAGAGACCAAGCTGTGAACCCAGGATGGCTGCTGCAAGTGCTGAGTCTGAGGCTACTTAGCAAGAGGTACAGGGTACCCAGAGGCCAGATGCTATTCATTTGAGAGATTTTAGGAAAGTCCAAAGCATGAGGCAAGAGAGGCCACTTGTATGGAAAAGCTACTGGAAGCAGCTTGGATGAGCCTGCAATTTGGGTGGAGCAGGGTCTCAGGGAATCATCAGGGTGGGGTGAACAGTGTGAGCCAGTTGACAGAGACTGAAATATGGTGTCCTGTCTATGGCAGGCAGGGCTCACCAGAGGAACAATGGCTTCTGCCAGTACTTTTCTCTGGCTGAATTCTGCCCTTCCAACTCTCGCCCTGATGCCAGAAAATTTAGTTTCTCCTAGTATATCCCTGGTTCATTTCATTGATTTTTTTTTTTGGGGGGGGGGGTACGTGCCCCTAGTGGAAACCAAACCTGGGACTCTCTGGTTCGCAGGCCCCTGGTTCCTTTCAAACTAATACCTCAGAGCTGGAGCTCAGAGGGAATGAGTCTGAGTAAGTCCATGTGCAGACCCTTTAAGAGGAAATGGCTGGGACTCCAGAGGTCTCTGTGTCACTCAACCATAATGCACATTGGATTTTATAGCCCAAAGTTATGGGGATTTCTCTTCCTGGCCCTGGAATACTGGGCTGGTGTGCCTGGTGTGGGGCTGGGACTCCTCATTCTTTACTGGGGACCTCCACTGCCAAAACATCCCTACCAATTATAAATTACCACATATGGGTGTGGGACCAGCCAGTTCCACATATCCACCCCTCCTACCAGTCTTGATGTGACTTCTTTAATTCCCTTGTTGTAGGGCCCCTATTCAGCTAGATTTCTGGCAGTTCTGAATGATGGTTGTTCAGTAGTTTAGTTTTATCTTTGATGTGGTATGGGAAGATGTGAGTACCATGTTAACCTACACAGCTATCTTGACCAGAAGCTGACAAAGTATATTCCTGTATTATTTATTAGTTATTGTATTATTTTCCATATGACCAACTGTAAACCTACTTTTACCGACATCTGTATATTTATTCTTGCATATTTATGTTTAATTTGTTTAACATAAAAGTTATATAAAATGTGTGATCATGAAAAAATAAAAGAGCTAAAACATTATTTGATTGCTGTCTTTTACAGTTTTTATCTTTTTTTAGTTAATCCTCACCTGAAGATATTTCTCCATGGATTTTTAGGTAGAGTGGAAGGGAGGGAAGAAGAGAGAGAGAGATATCAATGTGAGAGAGACACGTTGATTGGTTGCCTCCTGCACAACCCCAACCTGGGCTTGTGATTGAACCTGCAATCCTTTGGTTCAGGGACCAACACTCTAACCACTGAGTCAAACCAGTCAGGGCTGATTGCTGTCTTTATGGTTTTTTTTGAATCTTAAAAAAAAAAAAAAAAAAGTTAGTTACTTTTTTTAAAGTTGGCAATTATTTTTTTAAAAATAGAAGGAGATTTAGCCAGTATGGCTCAGTTGGCTAAGTGTGGTCCCATGCACCAAGATGGCGCTGATTCAATTCCCTGTCAGGACACATGTCTGGGTTGCAGGCTCAATCCCCAGCAGGAGGCGTTCAGGAGGCAGCCAATTGATGTTTCTCCCTCATTGATGTTTCTATCTCTCTCTTGCTTTACCTTTCTCTCTCTAAAATCAATAAAAACATATTTTAAAAAAGAATACAAAGAAATAGAAATGTGTATACCAGATAATGAATATGGTTTGCTTGTTTGTGTCCTAAGAAAAAGTATACAGTTACTTAATTAGTAATTTTGATATACTATATAATGTTATTTAATATGCTGATAAAGTTAAGTATATCTTAAAGATAAAAATTTTAGTCATCTATAGCATAGTCATGTGTCTGTGATTGGCTAAATGCATACATGTAAAAGTATATTAAGCTTAATACATATTGAAAATAATAATATGTATTAATAAATTGAAAAAATAATATATATGAGAGCATGTTTGTAATCAAAAGTTCTGAGGAATCTGAAGTCTGTTTCTCTGTATTTGTAATGCCCTGTAGTTGATTGCTTTTAAAGTAAACACCATTATTTGTTTTTATAAAATTGGCTTAATGTTAATAGATTTACTCATTAAAAACTTATAAATCTTCATTTAAAATTTTGTATGACTATTATGCCAAACATAGAATTAAAATATGGTTGTTGTTCCTATAAAATAATCAAATTAGGTTGTGTCCAGAGAAGAGAAGTTACAAATATTCTGTTAACTCTCTAAACTTTTTGAAAAACTTCTGAATTATTTTGACAAAATATTCCTTATTTGCTTAAATTAAATGTCTTAATATTATTGTTTCTTATTATTTGTTTGAAAATATTACCTTAATTTGTGCAAGATAAAGGGAAAATGTGGAAAAAGAGCACCACTTTTTGTATTCTTGCATTAGATCCCATAATTGTTAGTGGTAAAACTGTACAGAGGTTAGAAATCTCTCAGAGATTTAAGTATATTCCCAATGACAAGGATAGTTCTTTATGATCTTTAAACAAAAAGGTGGCATAATCGCAACTGTGTTTGAGAGACAAATTATAACATGGATAGAACACAAAAAGACCAGAAATAAAATGAATGTTGAAACTCTCCATTACCTTTCTATATTATACATATAAAAAGTAAAAGAGATTTCCAAATAGATTGTTGAGAATTTGTTTATGAATTTTTATTTAAGCTATATACATCTTGAACCTTGAATTTGTAAACTTAACATTTCTAACTTTTTTTCAAATCAGTCAAGTATGAATTAGAGAGAAATATGAGAAACCATGGCATATTTTACCTTACCCCCATTGTTTCTTCACATTGAAACCAACATAGATAGTCAATGTCTTCAGATTTGTTCACATAGACTGTATCATCAGTGCAATTTTCAACAAGAAATAAGTATCAATAGTAACTTTAGATTTTTCACCTGTGGATACTTTCAAAGATATAAAAAAAATAACTTCTCACAAACTGGAAGTCACATTGAATTATACTAAAGACAGTTGTCAAATTACTTGATAAGATCAATTTGACAACACCAGTGAAAAACAGGGTTCTATATCCATAAAGTACTAAATATGAAATAGACCTAAAATAAAAAAAGGCCCAACCTCATTTTAAAAATAGTCTCAGAAACACTGCATCAGAGAGAACACATAAAAAAAAAAATCAAATGTCAAATAAGTTTCCAATTAATGTTTGAAAAATGATGTAGTAACTATGAGCAATACATTTTATAAAAAACACTTTTATATATTATAGTTGTATAGGAACCACTTCAAAAGAAATTTGAAGAAATCCTTAAAATATTTATGATAGAAAAATAATCAGGACCTCATCCTAATTTTCTCACAGAAAGGAATAAAGGAAAGGAATATGTGTGTTTGTGTGTATGTGTAGATACAGATACAGATATACACATATACATATATAATGTAACTACTTAACACTCTAATGTTAAGCATAATATCTGTGATACAATAAAAAAACAAGACTGCAAAAGAAGCAAAAGAATATGACCTATATTCAAGAGGATACTTAGTAAAGGCAGATGTACAGATGGGCCAGACTTAGAATTATTGCACAAAGACTGTAATATATCTATGATAAATGTGTTCAAGTATCTATAGAGAATGATAAATAGAATCGGTAAATGGGTAGGAAATTAGGGAATGAGAAATTTGGAAACTGTTAATAAAAAATGGAAATCCCAAAATTGTGGGCAGAAAGGAGCTAATTAGGCTGAACTGAGAACCTATTATCTCTCATTAATGGATGTAACATTACAAGTAATGAAAGAACATAGGAGACCTGGTAAATCTTGTAAACATCAATAAACCTCTTAGTAAAAGGACCAATAATATTTGGTAGGGAGATATTACTTATTCACAGAATCCTTCAGCTAATACCCCTGTTTTAGGATCGCTTATGGTTAACAAACTATAAGTCTGTGGTCCGTGAAGCATGACTTCCTGAAAAATAGCAGGTGAGCTATTCAACTTACACCTGAAGTGGGGAGGTAGAGATTGTTCACAAGCTGAGTCTCCCTGCTGGGTGCAGACCTCATTTAAAAACCTCACTTATCACTCTGGAAAAAAAGGAAGGAGCTAGGAAGCCATGCATGATGTTACTAACCTTTTCAACCTTACCAGTGCTATTTGACTGATTAAAATCTTAAAATTATAGTATAAGAAAGTATTCCTACATTTGTAATATAATATTCAATAAATGGGACTTAGAAAGGAGACCCGAGAAAAGAAAATATTCAGTAAATATAATTTTAACAAGATCACCTTTAAAGTGATGAGAAAAAATATTTTAAATATAGTGTACCAGTCTCATATAATCAATTGTGAATGTTCCTTAATATTTCAGGAAGAGTTCAAAGTAGTACTACACTTAGTTCTTGGTTGAATATCTAGAAGAACTTGGATAGAAACCATATACTTCCAATGTTTTTCTCTGTTGAAAGATTTAAAAATTTTTTTTTCAATTATTTAAGCATTTATAGGATTATTCAAATTTTATATTTATTATTGAATCAGTTTGTAACTAGCATTTTTTTAGGCATTTACACATTTTATCTCATTTGTCCAATTTATAAGAAAGTATTTTTTATAATGATGTATGCGATTAAACATTTGAATGTAACTGATATATTATTGTTCCTGCCTTCCAAAGCCTCAAAAGAGGTATTAAAAAATATAACAAATACTTTAACCCACAGAGATAATGGGAGGGAAAATAACAGTGAGCACATACATTTAATAATTTTTGAGAAGCTGGAAAGATGTGTTTGATGAATGTTAACTACAATTACTGTGGGATCATTTTATATATACAAATATAGAATTACAATGTTTTGTACTTGAAACTCACATCATATTTTATGTCAATTATATCTCAATTTAAAAAAATGAATATAATCCCTCAAATTCTCAGCATGGTGAAATTTCAGAACACTCTGGTAACAAACATAGAAAAAGCCTTCCAGAGAGATAATTACAAGTTGAATAAAAAGAATTGAAAGGTAGCCTATTAGACATGATTCTACGTTATTGCATGCCTTCCTTTCTTTTCCCTTTATCACATATTTCATTGATTGTCATATCAGTACTAGGAATAGTCTTCAATCATTTGTACATCTGAGCTTATTCTTTTGCTCAAATAGCCAATGATGCCGAGTATAATCTTGCACATCAATTACTCGGCAGGTGGATGGGAAGCATGGGTGATGAAAAAGCTAGGTCAAACAGTGTATACATTTATAATATTTCCCTGCCAAGATAGTAAAGTAATTTTACATTTGCCAGCAATAGATAAAATCACCAAGTTGTCAAACTCTCTGTTTTTTGCCAGAAGTATAAAAGAAAAATTATATATTTATGGTGTTTGTAAAATTTTCTTTGTTCTTGTTATGAGTCAAGCTGAGCATTTTTTCGTATATTTAGAAATACTTTCTATTCATTCTAAATTTTTCTTTTGGCGTTTGACTATTTCTATGATAACTTTTCAAAGTAGACAGTTTTGCTTTTCATGTAGTCAAATGACCAATCTTTTCTTTTTGATTTCTAAATTTTGATAGAATCTCTAAAGGCCATTTCCATTCAAATTTATAAAGTAGTTGTGTAATATTTTCCTCATTTTTTTTTATTCTTTAAAATTTTTACACTAAAATTTTTTATTTAATATGAATTTAACTAGAGTATGTTGTAAGATACAAATCTGACTTTTCTTTCAAGATGACTATCCAGTTGTTTGGCATCCAGTTGATTGGATAGTTCCTGTTTATTCTGATTGGGATGACAATTTTGTCATATGCAAAATTTCTGCATGACTTAGATTTATTTTGAACTTTGTATTTTGCATACTTTGATTATCAATGAAACAGCATCATATTTTCCATGACTGAAACTATATAACATGCTTTAGTATCTGGCAAAGCTAAACTGTATCTCACCTACCTACACAATGCACTTTTTCAGAGAATACCTGGCATTATTTATTTAATTTTCCATGTAGACTTTAAGAAATAACCCAAACATAAAGGCACTGCTATTATTCTATTACCTTAATACATTTATAATAATGTAGAGATTAGAAATATTTAAAACATTAGATCTCTCCAACAGTATGATTTATCTTTAGAATGTTTTTGTTGTTGTTTTGTTCCCAATTTTGTGTGTTTGTAACTATGCTGTGGCAATATTGAAAGTTTTCTCAATTTAGAACTTACATAGCTTTGTTAATTTAAGGTCTAAGCATTGAAATATTGATACTGAAACTGCTGTTTACATGAAATACTTTTTCCATTATGCCATTTAATTAGTTATTCTCTCTATAAAAGTCATTATATTAATTAATTAACAAAAATTTGCTGTAGAAATGTTTCAAAAACACTATTATGTGTAATATAAGTAAAAAACACTAAACCACATTTTAAAATATTTTTTTGAAACTCATTTTTTGTTTTTTTTTTTAATCTTGAAGTTAGGCCCTAAAATCCTAAATGGATATAAAAATAAGAGCAGGTATTTAACAAAAAAGACAAGTGATGCAGTATGGAAACAAAAATACTTTAATAAAAGTATTATTTTGGGGATATAATATTTTCTACTTTCACAAAAATTATTATAATATTACAGAAGCAATTTATAATAAATAAATTATTATTGATATCTTGTACTATCTTCTAGCACAAGTAATACTCTTTCATAAAGAAAAAAAAGGGAATTAAAAGTAACATTTGGTTTGCAACATAATTTACAAATGTAGCAATCACTTTTCATTTAGAAAAGTTCACTGGCACATATTAAATGTTTTAAATGTATGTTTAATTTAATCAACTAAACTCTAATAATCACAAACTTTAAACAAAAGGTGTAAAAAGAGAACTTGTCTCTTTTTGTGCTATGATTTCATCTTTTCTTAACTCTAATTCATATTCTTTTATTTCACTTCACAACTCATTATCCACTCTGTCAGTATCATCTTTCCTCAAACCTAATAATACATATAATGAACATAGATGATGACATTGAAAAGAAGCAGTGCATATCAGCTCTTTCTCAAGTTGTGCACTGCAGACCAATTGTCCTTGAAGGGGCTTCTCCTAATTAATTACCATCCTTTTTTGTAGAGCAGTCATATTGGCAAGAATTGATTGGGCGTGTAAGACAGTTCATTTAGTTGGTAGAAAATTCTCTTAATTAAAATAATTTTACTGCTGGTAAAATTAATGCACCCTATGCACACTTACCAGCTTGATTTTAACATTTCCCTTCAATGATATTTTATGGAATAAAAGGAAATAAGATCTTAACAGATAATAACCCACAGGAAAAAAGAGAATTACATCAAACGTGTCATTCTATTTACTGCTATTTTTCTTATCCTAAAATCTGCTTTGTTGTTTTTATAACACTACCAAAAGTTGTTGCTTTGCTGAATCTTTGTACTAACCATAAAAAAAATAATTTGTGTGGTTCTACTTAAATATTTCTTGACTATTGAGCTGTATCACACTGGCTTCTTTGGCTTGGACAGTCCAAGTCATTGACAATCTCAGATATGGAGGTCACATAATTCTTTTTTTTGTAATAATTAGCTATGTTTACTAAGTTCTGAACATAGATTCATGAAGTTATAAGGACTAAGCATGCTTACATTATTTTGCTGATAGTTTCTCAAAAAGCTGATTTATCCACGAGCAATTTTGACTCCATATTATCCCCATATCCTAGAAAATACATTGTACTATTGTCATTCATAAAATTAACTCTCTTTGCTTAGAGATAATTTATCCCTGAACAGTTATATTTTCTATGTTTTCCTATGTTTCATAAAAATAAATGCTATTTTTTTCGATGTGAATATTTTCTTGAGCCATTTTTAGTTCTCAAAACATTTTAATGTTTACTATTAAATAAATGTATACATGCATATTTTCTACTTTGAGACAAACAAAAATCAAGCACAAAAATGATGTTGGCACTGAAGTCCATGAACCGTAGGTCATGATTCTCAATCTGCATATTAAACACATTTGGGGAGCCTTTACTGATCTCCTGTGTCCACCTCACTACAGTTCCAGTTTGTTCTGTAGTGGACGTTGAAAAATAAGAATCATTTAAAAGCTCCTTCAAGTGATCGTAATTTGTGGTCAAGGTTTAAAACCACTGAGTCAACACAATCCCTAAACAGTCCCCAGACCAACGGTTTGAGGTAACAGCTTTAACCACAGTTGTTGTTGTTCTTATTTGTTTGGTTTGTGTCCTTTGTAAAATAGTAAGTATTTATAACGTGGTCTCTAAAGTTATTTTTATCATTAACAATGTCATAAACAAGCCACTGCTCTCTACTACCACATTTGGTCCTGAGTGTGATTTGCTTAATGAACCGATAACGATTTCTGTCATTAGGGGTTATTAACTCTCCAGAATACCATTTTATGAGCACGATGAAATAAATTATCATGTTTTCTGTTTCAAAGACTAATTGTTAGTTTACTTCCACTCAGTTTTAAGGTAATAGTAGTCTTATAACTGCAGCTGCTATAGTTGAATACAGTAAGCCATTAGTTGTGAACAGGCATATCAGATCCACTAATTTGCTGATTGTTGATAAACTATAATGCCAAAATATCACTGCCAGAGGAAATATTCCTTGACAGAATTTATTGGAGTACCATACAGTTTTAAGATTGTGGATTAATTTGCATAAGCTAAGTCAAATAGTGTATTCAAAATGTAATCAAAGAACAGAAAATTATGTTCATCAAAATAGATTTTGAAATAGAAACTGCCAATGTATAAAACAATTAAAAATATATTTAATAAAATCTGTGGTAGACTTATTTCAAGTGTTAAAGTCAAAAAACTAGAATTGCTGCTGACCTCTATCCCTTGCTCTCTGTTACAGTTCATAAACAAGAACTCCCTCCTATCACCTCACAAGACGATTACCACGAACTCTCTACTGTGTGTACCCTCTCCAGTCTATGTCTCTACTTGATCTTTTATTATTATTATTTTTTAATGTGTCAAACCCCACAATGATTTCCTATTCCTTTTAGAATACAATTCTAAATATATAAACCAACATTTTAATTCTGGCATTGCCCTCTCTCTCCCTAAGCCTTGTTTTAACTCTTGTTCTCAGAGTTCCAGCCAGGCCTTCAAAGGATTCAACTCTTCTAATTTTGTATTTTTGTTTTGTTATTTTTTTCAACAGCTTTATTGGAGATATAACTGACATACAAAAACATGCAGATGTTAAATATATATAATTTGATATCTTTGGAGATAAGTAGGTACCCATTAAACAATAATCACAATCAATATAAAAAACTTATCCATAACCTCTGAAAAAATTTTCACACCCCCTTTCTTTATTTTGTTTGTTTTATTTTTTTATTTTTATGATAAGAGCTTTTAACATAAGATCTATTCTTCTAGCAAAATTTTAAATATTATATAGAAGAATAGTAATCATAGACCTATGTTGTCCAATAGATTTCTACAACATATTTATCTTGTATAACTGAAACTTTGTATCTTTTATACATTTCATTTATTTTCATTTATTTCATTTATTTGTTTGTTTACGTATAATTCCCCCAATTCTCCAACTCCTTACCTGGCCTCATTCTCCATATCTCTGTTCAAGGGTCATTTTATCATGGAAAACGTATCTGATTTCCCAACTTACTCTCCTAATTGCTCATATTTTTTTTTTCTTTCTTTTTTTCTACTAAAAACAATTTCTTTAGTTATGAGCAGTCATGGGAGGAAACTGCTTTCTGTAGAAACACTTTATTTGCATTTACAATTATATATTTATCACTATATTTGCCCAATAACTCTCGTCCAAAAAATAGATCTATGAGAATAGAAAATAGTTATCACTTTCTTCACAATTATACAGGGTGGGGCAAAAGTAGGTTTACAGTTGTGAGAACAGAAAACATTGAGTATATTCTTATATTATTATTTCTTAGTTGTATTATTACAAACAACTGTAAATCTACTTTTGCCAAGAATTCCTGAAGTGTAGTAGGTACTTAGCGTATGTCCGCTAAGGGAACAAATCAGAAAATAAGAATATTAAATTTATTTTTTATTTTGTGTTTAGAGATAAAATATTTTGTGTGAGTAGAAAATGAATACTTACTTATTAAATGTTGAAGAGATTCAGGCAAATTAAAACTGCAAATCTGATTTTATTACCTGTAAATCCCAATTGCCACACATACTTAAATTGAGGAGAATGAGGAACTACAGCTTGGTAAATATCACCCCTGACAGATCCGCAACAACAGGGGTACAGGAGAATAAAGCAAACATTCTTCAGAAACCCACATGAATTTTTTGTGCACCATGGAGTGCACACATAATAAAAAAAGAAAGTAACGGAAAATGATACATATACTTTACTGAAATGTTCCAGTGTATATTTTGGTGGATAAGATGCACAGCTAATTTCTAAAACTACCAATTAAGAGAAATTTGTAGGATACACCTTTTAACCCATGTTTTGTGTTTTTCTTTTATTATTTCAACTTCTCTTTCTGTACCATCTTTCATCACGTTCATGTTCAAAATGTCTATGTAATATTTTTTTGGCTTTGACTCACTCCTCAGTTTATAACTGTAGTTGACAATCTTCTGTTTAATTGGCTATAATTTTTTTTAAATTAAAAGTAACCATGGTATAAATTAACAGACATGCTATTTAAAACACATATGTCCCTATAGGATTAGCATAATGAAATGTCAAGGTACTATTTGAATTTGTTGGGTTTTTAAAAATTTAAATCATTTGAAAATATTTTAATGTAATCAAGGCATATTTTCTAATAAGATGATCTATCTATGGTACTCTCTAGTATTTGAAAGATAGATTTCATAACTGCTTATATCCATAATGAAATTAATTAAATTTAAACAATTTCATGTCACATTCAAGCCATCATAATGTTTAATACATGGTACTTTACTGAGGTTTTAGGATTAAATAATCCAGTAAGATAAATGTAAGCCTTGGAGAGAGCCTAGGGCCATATATTCTGTTTAGAGAGTATCTTAAAATTATTTCTACTTCTGTGAGTTTCCACTGAGCAAATGCTCCACAAATTTGGCAGTGGGAAGCACAGTTTCACAGGGCACAAGGAATCACTAACATCTGACATTTCCCTTAATGGGATTACTACACTAATTGAACTTCGTTCTAATTGTTTTAAGTCATAATAACATTCTACCTGGATTCACAATACAATTTCTTAATGGATAGACAAAGTATGATTCTTAAAGTATAAGTCTATGTATTAATTAATAAATGACTACACAGCTAACTGGAGTCAATACTAAAGATTAGAAATGATCAGAAAAAAAATCATCCTTTAATTATATTAAATGGCTACCAACATAGTATAATTCTATCAAATATTTCTAAGTCTTGATATCACCAAAAGTTTTAACATTTTGTACTAAGGAAGAATTTTGATTCTTCAAATGGCATCAACTAACCTTCATTGTTAGTGGACATGTGTCTTACTGGACTTATGTTCATCATTTACATAAAAATGTAATACATTAGAATTTATGACTGCACAAAATAAACTTAAAGTAGCATATTATGATAAAAAACATGTAGTGTCATCTCTTCACTTAAAACCAAACCAAACAGCCCTGGCTGGTTTGGCTCAGTGGTTAGAGTCAGCCCACGGACCAAAGAATCGTGAGGTCAATTCTGGTCAAGGGCACATACCTCGGTTGTGGTTCATCCCCAGCCCTGGTCAGGTCGATGTGTCTCTCTCACATCAATGTATCTCTCTCTCTCTGTCCCTCCCACTCTATCTGATGATAAACAGAAAAATATTCTTGGGTGAGGATTAAAACAAACAACAAACAAAAATCCCTGAAAAACCTTAGTTTATAAGCAATCTCAGGTTTCTGTTTTGTTTTGTTTTGTTTGTGGGTGTGTGTTTCCAGTTAAGAAAATCAGAGGCAGCTGCACAGATGTATACAACCCTCATTTGTTTGGCATACTCAGGGGTGAGAAAGCCATTAAAAATAAGACTTCACATCTTCTCTAACAACTCTGCGGGAGATGGACCAGTAAGGAGTAGATGCTGCCTAATGATGACAGAGGCCAGAATGACAAAAATTATATGGGTCTCTGCTCCCAGTAGTGCTATGGTGCTGATGCTGCTATTTTTACTATTACATAGAGACAAATACAGGCTCTGGATTTTTCTGGATTAACAACAACAACAAAAAGTCCCTCACAATAGGTTTCAAGGGAAGTCAGAACAATTTATCAGCCATTGGCTTCCTCTATCCTGAATGAGGACATTGTGAAGGTATTCTGACTTTAGACAAACTTTGCATTTACAGGTGGTTTTGGGGATGGAAAATTAGAGCTCTTAAATTATTGCAACACCAATAAATTGCCATTGAGTAAACAACTTTCATTTTAGGAGCAATTTATTTTATTAGAAAACATACAGAGGTTATGTAATGCAGTCTGTTTCTGAATCTGACCTCTCATTCATGACTTGTGCATCTATGTGAGAATTTATACACATACACACATTCCACAGCCAAAATAAAAATTTTAATATATAAAATAACACTTAAAGCAGGTTTACAACATGAGCAAAGTAAAATGGTGATATGGAAGAGTAAAGACTTTTGAACAAATGAACTAAAACATCTTGTCCAAATAGCTCTAAGCTTTTTAGCAGCCAAGGAAATGAGAAATTATGAAAATATAGCATGATTCTTCTTACTAATTAGTTTTATTTTGGTGGACTCATTTCAGTTTATTGGGAGAATCATATTTATAAACACTATTCCTAAGAGATAAATGTCATATGGTGAAAGACGTTAAATCATTGATAGTCATATAATGATATTTTTGTAGGAAATTATTTATTAAATTGATCGTGAATCCATAAACTTTTCTCTGAATAGTGCTACTTTATTCAAGAAAAATGATTTTCAATAAAGCAAATTCTGAGTATGAATTTTAAAAATGCTGCTAATGAAGGAAAATTAGTCATTCTGAATTCAGGTGGACATGGTAAATGATATACTATTCACTGCCTATTAAAACACTATTTTCTTAGTTCTCATAAACTTAAATAGACTATTTAATGACTCAGAATAAATTGTATAGCAAGGCTGGTGTTTTTTGTGGAGTTCAGTTATTAAAAAATGGCCTCTATTTTACAATGACGTGAATTTCCAGTAGAATGAATGTTCTCTTCTAATATTAAGTTACCCCAAATTCTACAATGACTCAGGTAACATGGTAATAATTTTTCTTCAACAATTGTATTTGGACCCATAGAGATTCAAAAAATGTTTATATGAAAGTGCTCACCTAGCTATTAATTTTTAATCTCTCCAAATACTTAATGTTTTAAAAATAAGCTATATTTTTTCATTTTTTCTCTTTATTGATTTTAGAGAGAGAGGAAGGGAGAGGACAAGAGAGATAAAAACATCAATGAGAGAGCCCTGGCCGGTTTGGCTCAGCAGTTAGAGCATTGGCCTGTGGACCAGAGAGCCCCAGGTTTGGTTCCTGCTAAGGACACGTACCTCGTTTGCAGTTCATCTCTGGCCCCCATTGGGGTCGTGTGGGTGGCAACCAGTTAATGTGTCTCTCTCACATTGATGTTTCTCTCTCTCTTCCTCCCACTCTATCTGAAAATAAAAAATCCAAAAATGTCCCTGGGTGAGGATTAAAAAAAAAAAAATCAATGAGAGAGAACATCGATTGGCTGCCTCCTGCATGCCCCCCACTGGGGATTTGGCCCACAACCTGGGCATGTGTCCTGACTGGGAATCAAACTTGTAACTCTTGGTTCATGGTTCAAGGCTCAACCACTGAGACACACCAGCCAGGCTATAAGCTATATTTTTTCTCTTACTTCCCATTGAAATCAAAGATTAAATAACAAATATTTGTTCAAAAATCTGTGGATGTCTACAGATAGATTTCAACATTCATTAATTTTCAAACTTTATTCATAAAATAGAAAAATAATTGTATGTAAAATGGATTTACTTGTTGTGATAGAGTATTATTTAGTGTGACTAACTCAACTATTTTCCTGGGATTTGACACTTTCAGCATTGAAATTCCGGTGTCCCAGCAAATCAGTATGCTTGGTTGCCCAAGTAGATTATATATTCAAAGTATTATATCTGAAATGAAGGAAAATAAGAACAGGTGCAATTAGCGTGTGTTGGGAGAGAAAACTGATCTGTTCTTCTAGGCCTCTAAAATGTGTGTGTGTGTGTGTGTGTGTGTGTGTGTGTGTGTGTTTTGTGTGTGTGTGTGTGTGTGTGTCTGTGTGTGGGTTTATGGGGGGGTTGATAACCACAGCATAACCTATCTAACACACTTTAGCAAAAGTTTCCTCCATCTAGATGTGAGACAAAACTTGGTACTGGGGATTGTTTCAATTTTGAAATATTTATCAACTTTATTACATTGCCTCATATCTTATAAAGTATATAGCTCATATTTATGTATGAAAATTAATATTACATTTATTGCAATAAACAATAGTTCTTTATAAAATGCTGAGGAAATATACATTTGACAATAGCAATTCATTTTGACTTGTACTTGACCGCCCAGTTTATTTATAAGAATTGAAAATAGCAAACAATTCAGAATTTGCACTATTGCTTTTGGAAGTGAGTAGGGTGCCAGAGAATGGGGATCTAAAGACAGGCATTTGGAAGTGAACATCTATCAAATTGTTGACAGTGAACTAATTAACTGGCACATATTAGAAAAATAAAACTTAGACTGACTTTGAACTTCAATAAGCTTCTAAGAGCATAATTTTGGTAAGCAAACAGTGAAATTAAGACAATAATGAGCTAATTTCACAATGACAGTAAAAGCAAGCAAGAGAATCTAGAAAATAGTCCATGAAAAGAAAAGCAATTTATATCTTATATCACATGTCAGTATATGTTACATCAGAAAGGAGCAAATTTTGCAATACCAAGATTTTGTGACTTTTATTTGATTGACAAAACACATATTCATAACAAATTCATTACTCTAACTAATTTAACATATTACATGCCAAATATATTTAATGATGCTATTTTAAAGTCTATTCTGGCCCGGCCAGTGTGGCTCAGTGGTTGGGCATCAACCCATGCACCAAGAAGTTGCCAGTTTGATTCCTAGTCAGGGCATATGCCCAGGTTGGGGCCAAATCTCCAATGGGGGGCATGCAGGAAGTGCCAATCAATGTTCTCTGTCATTGATGTTTTTCTCTCTCTCTCCCTCTTCCTTGCTCTCTCTCTAAAATCGATAAAGAAAAAAAGAAATAAATAAAGTCTATTCTGTTTTAAAAAAGA